CACCGCAACCATTGTAAATGCTTACCGGTTGCCAAGCACCCAGATTTTTTGATCTCGTGACCATGGGGATATTGCTACGGTCATAAGCGCAAGGACCAGTTATAAGTCATTTTTTTTCCAGTGTCGTTAACTTTGAACGGTCACTAAACAAATGGTGCAAGGTCTACCTGTAGATAACTATTTTACGTTCTCTCTTTTTTAAAAAAATATTTTATTAAGTTTTTTCAGGGTGGGGAAAAGCAAGGGTAATTATGAGTGGTGGGGTTCAGGGTAGGGTTCAAAGAAGGATTTAGAGTGGGGATGGGTACACCAATGGGGTTGCCCCCAATAACATTTCACGCTTTAACAAGCAAGCTATCATCCGGATACAAGTATTCCACAGGGCTAATATAATAATCAGTAACAGTAGTCAACAAAAATAACAGAAATTATAAAGCATATCAATTAATCAAAAGAAAAAAAATCAATCATCTTAATAAATTTCAGTTTCATTATCTCATTTGGCTAACCATTGATAAAAGTTTTCCCATGTTTTATACTAGACTAAGTCTTCTTTCTCTTTAATCTCTAACGTTAATCTATCCATTTCTGCACATTCTAAGATTTTCCTAATTATAATCTCATCTGATGGTATATCTTCATTTTTCCAGTATTGGGCAAATGCTGTTCTTGCAGCTATCAGTATATGTAATATTAAATACTCGTTCTCTTTCCCATAATTAGATCCTAATATTCCTAGCAGAAACAATTCTGGCCTAAATTCTATGTGTATTTTAGTTATCTTTTCCAACCATATATGAATCGTACGCCAGAATTTCTTTGCACTGGGGCACACCCACCAGATGTGATAATAAGTGCCTGGTTTTTACGTTCTCTCTTTTGTGTTTCGGTTTGTTCCAGGATCAGGTAACTCAACGCTGGACTCTAAGGATGGTTTTCGGCTAGAAAGACCCAAGGAGACAAACCATCATGGGACATTATTGGAAAGAGCCCTGGGGAACCTCACCCAAGGCCCCAACACTCAGGAAGGTCTTGAAATTAAGCAGGAGACGGACAGCTTGCTGGAAGTAAAGTCTGACCTAGCCTTGTTTTGTGAAGAGGTGTCTACAGACGGCTCCACGGAAAACCATCAAGGAAGAGATGCCGGTTTTGATCGCTCTAGAAACCACCAGCAAAGAGCAAATTGTTCCAAGAATCAGAACGCGCCGACGGAAAGCGAACGGATCTATAAGTGCTCTTATTGCGGGAAGAGTTTTGAGAAGAGCTTAGACCTGGTTACCCACGAGAGAGCTCACATCGGAGAGAAGATATACAGGTGCTCCCACTGCGAGAAGCGGTTCTCTCACTGGATCGACCTTCTGACTCACAAGAGGAACCACCAAGGGGAGAAGCCGCACCAGTGCGAACTGGACTGCCCCAAATGCCACAGGCAGAGGACTTTTCCGAGGGCGCCCCGCAGAGCGCCACCCGGAGAGCAGGCGTGTCAGTGCCCGGTTTGCGGGGAACGTTTCAGCTGGAAATCAAACCTTATCAGACACCGGAGAATCCACACAGGGGAGAAACCCTACCGGTGCACTGAGTGTGGGAAAAGCTACACTCGTAAAACAGCCCTTGATAGACACAAAAGGAACCACGTGGGGGAGAAAGTCTGTGAGATCGGTGCTCCGAGCCTGGGGCAGGCATCAGTGTTGGTCCTCCTTGTATGAATCACATGGAGCTTGACGAGAAAAATGTTGTGTTGTATTAAATATATTAAATGTATTAAACATGGGAGGAAGTTCACTTGCAGCTAAATAAAGTTTGGATTAAGCCGTTAATGCGCAGGGTTCCTTCACCAGTCAAGGCATCCTTCTAAGTGGCCAGTGAAACATGCCAAGATTGGAACTCATCCCTCTCCATATAGGTAGTCCTCGACTTACAACAGTTCGTTTAGTGATCGTTCAAAGTTACGAGGGCACTGAAAGATGTGAAGACCATTTTTGAGTTACACCATAATGATGTGGTCAAAATTCAGACGCTTGAAACTGATTCATACTTATGACGGTTGCAGTCTCCCAGGGGTTATGTGATCCCCTTTTGCGACCTGACAAGCCAAGTCAATGGGGAAGCCAGATTCACTTAACAACCGGGTTACTAACTTATCAACTGCAGTGATTCACTTAACAACTGTGGCGAGAAAGGTCGTAAAATGGGGCAAAACTCACTTAACAAGTGTCTCACTTAACAACAGAAATTTTGGGCTCAATTGTGGTCCCCAGTCAGTCTGCAAGGCAGTGTCTCTCAATCTCAGCAGCTCTTGTGGACTTCAACTCCCAGAATTCCTCAGCCAGCATTAAAGTAGCCGAGGTTGAAAAACAGCGTTCTAAGGAAGAATTCTATATATATAGGTAGTCCTCAACTTACAAAAGTTTGTTGAATGACAACGGCACTGAAAAATGTCCCTTATGATTGTTTTTCACACTTAATGACCGTTGTAGCATCCCCAAGGTCACTTGATCGGAATTCAGATGCTTGGCACCTGACTCTTATTTGGGACAGTTGCAGTGTCCCGGAGTCATGTGATCCCCATTTTCCACCTTTGAACAAAGTCAATGGGTGAGTTAGATTCACTTAACAAATGTGTACAGAGAAGAGCAACAAAGATGATCAGGGGACTGGAGGCTAAAACATACAAGGAATGGTTGCTGGAATTGAGTATGTCTAGTTCAGGGGTAAGCAACCGTGGCTCTCTTATGACTCGTGGACTTCAATTCCCAGAATTCCTGAGCCAGCCATGCTGAGGGGAAAGGGAGACGTTTCCAAGCTGAGCCATGCTGGCTCAGGAATTCTGGGAGTTGAAGTCCACGAGTCATAAAAGAGCCAAGGTGGCCTACCCCTGGTCTAGTCTAATGAAGAGAAAGGCGAGGGGGGACATGATAGCAGTGTTCCAGTATCTCAGGGGCTGCCACAAAGAAAAGGGAGTCAAGCTATTCTCCAAAGCACCTGAGGGCAGGACAAGAAGCAATGGATGGAAACTAATCAAGGGGAGAAGCAACCTAGAACTAAGGAGAAACTTTCTGACAGAACAATTAACCAGTGGAACAACCTGCCTCCAGAAGCGGTGAATCCTCCAACACTGGAAGTTTTTAAGAAGAGACTGGACAGCCATTTGTCCGAAATGGTATAGGGTTTCCTCCTGAGCAGGGGATTGGACTAGATGACCTCCAAGATCCCTTCCAACTTTATTATTATTATTAACTAAAATGATTCACCTAACAACTGTGCAAGAAAGATGGTAAAATGGAGCAAAATTCACTTAACAAATGTCTCAGCAACACAAATTTGGGCTCAATTGCAGTCGTATGCCAAGGGCTAACTGTACATATCGTCTTCAACTTAAGAAAAGAATTTGGATCAGAAAACTCATCGTTAAAGTGATGCGATTGTTAAGTTGAGGCATCAAGTGACCACACCCAATTTTATGACCTTTTTTGGCCATTATGGTTCAGTGTATCACACAGTTGTTAACTAAATCACACGTTTGTTAAGCAAATCTGGCTGTCCCTTGACTTTGCCTGTCACGTGACTGCAGGACGCTACAACCTTGGTAAATGCAAGCCGGTTGCCAAATCCCAATTATGTGACTGCGGGGATGTTGCAACAGTTGTGACACTGAAGAAGGATCATAGGTCACTTTTTTTCAGTGCCCTTGTAACTTCAAACTGTCATTAAACAAATTGTTGTAAGTTGAGGACTATCCATATAGCAATAGCTCTTAGCCTTATATACCGCTTCGCAGTGCTTCACAGCTCTTTCTAAGCGATTTACAGAGTCGGCATATTGCCCGCCAACAAT